ATTTTCTCCTAGTTAATGTTCTTTTCTTTTTCTTCTTTTTTTTTTTTTTAATGTTTTATTTATTTTTAGGAGAGAGAGAGAGAGACAGCGTGAGCAGGGGAGGGTCAGAGAGAGAAGGAGTCACAGACTGAAACAGGCTCCAGGCTCTGAACTGGCAGTCAGCACAGAGCCCGACACGGGGCTCGAACCCACGAACCGTGAGATCATGACCCAAGTGAAAGTCGGACGCTTAACCGACTAAGCCACCCAGGCGCCCCTTTTCTTTTTCTTCTTAAATAGGCCCTTTAATGGCCAGTTTAGTGGTGATGAACTCCTTTAACTTTTGTTTGTCTGGGAAACTCTCTCCTTCAATTCTGAATAGTAACCTTGCTGGGTGGAGTATTCTTGGTTGTATGTCTCAGCACTTCTAGTATGCTGTGCCTCCCTTTTGGTCTGTAGTGTTTCTGCTAAAACATCAGCTGCTAGTCTAGTGGGCTTCCCCTTATTTGTAACTTTTTGCGTTTATCTTGTTGCTTTTAAGATTTTTGTCTTTATCTTTAATTTTTGATATTTTAATTATTATGTCTTGGCCTGGACGTCCTCAAGTTCATCTTCTTTGGGGCTCTCTGGATATCTTTCTTTCCCCAGGTTAGAGAACATTTTAGCTATTATTTTTTCAAATAAATTTTCTGCCCCTTTTTCTCTCTTTTTCTAGGACCCCTATAATGCAAACGTTAGTACACTTGATGTTATCTCAGAAATCCCATAACCTACCCTCGATTTTTAAAATTCTTTTTTCTTTATGCTGTTCAGTAGCTACTTTCCATTATCCTGTCTTCCAGATCACTGATCTGTTCTGCATCTACTCATCTCCTGTTGATTTTTTTCTCCTGTATTTTTCATTTCAAGTTTGTTCTTTAACTCTGATTTTTCTTTTTTATACTTTCTGTCTCTTTGTTGAAGTTCTCACTGAGTTCATCCACTCTTCTCTCGCGGCTGGTGAGCATCTTTATGACTGTTATCAGATAGATTATCTCTGTTTTGTTTAGTTCTTTTCCTGAATTTTTGTTCTTGTTGTTTTGTTTGGAGCATGTTTGTGTGTCTCCTCGTTTTGATTGACCTTCTGTGTTTGTTTCTATGAATGAGGTCAAACAGCCACCTCCCCCTGTTTTGAAAGAGTAGCCTTGTGTAGGAATGTTCCTGCATAGACTGTGTGTGGCTGGCAGCTTTGGCGGGCTGACTGGAGCGTTAGTGGGTGCCCGCTAGGGGTCCCCGGGTGTTCCCTGCAGGGAGCACCCTGGCAGGAAAAATGGAAGCTGGCACAGGTAAAGGTGGGATGGGGGTCTGGAGCCACCTTGGTGGGTCAGCCGGGACTTGGGTGGGTGGGGAGTAGGGGGGGACACCTTGGGAATATGGCTAGAACTGGTGTGGACTAGGGTCCCAGAGCCCACTGAGGCAGTAGGCCGGCTAGAGTGTCCAGCCTCTGTTCCCATCTGTGCTACCAGGGTGGAGGGCCGACGTAAACAGTGGGGCACACCAGCACCTCTGACCCCAGAGAGAATTCTAGCACTCTTCCACCATTTGTCAGACACTACAGAGTTAGTGAATGGGTTTCCTTCACCTTTAATCTAATTACCTTTTACTATAGCTTTTTTTTCTGTGTCCCAGGGCAGGTGAATCTGCACAGGAGTCCCTCTGCACAGGAGTCCCTCTGTGCGATCCCTTTCTACTACAGTTCACAGTGTCAGAGGTGGGGTGCCTGTTGTCACTGTGTTCCCATCTCTTTTGCCATTCTCTGTGTGGTCCCTCTATCTTTTGTTGTGCAGATGCTGTTTGATCAGCCATCAGTTCATCAGGAGATGCCCTCTGTGTAGGTGTAGAGTTGGTGTGATCATGGGAGGACGGGAGTTCACGGTCTTGCTATATTGCCTTCTTGGACTCCCTCCTGATCTGTTCACATTTAGTGTCATTATTGATATGGTTGGATTTGGCTCTACCCTTTTGGTGTTTTCTGTTTGTCTCATGTATTTTTCGTTTCCCCATCTTTTCCTGCGAGTTATAAACCTTACAATATTGTTTGCTTTAGTCCTACATTTTAAAAATATATAAATCGCTTTTTATATTTACCCACCTGTTTAACATTTCAGTGATCTTTATTTACTTCTTGTACATTTGAGGATTATCATCTATGTTATTTCCCTTTAACTTTCAGAATTTCTTCCTCATACAGTGCAGCGCAGATCTGTTGGTGATGCATTGGCTTTGTGTTTGAAAATACTTTATTTCACCTTCATTTTTGAAAGTTACTTTTGCTGGGATTTAATTCAGGGTTGGCAGAATTTTTTAATTTTAGCACTTTAAAGATATTCCATTTTCTTTTGGTGTCTGTTACTTCTGATCAAAAGTTACATATCATTAGATATAAATCCTGTATGTAATATGCCTTTTTTTTTTTTTCCTGGCTGCTTTCAAAGTCATTTTTCTCTAATCTTTGCATTTGCAGTTTGACTAGGATTTGCCTAGCAGTGGGTTCTTATTTATTCTGCTTGGCATGTATTGAGCTTCCAAGATCTGCAAATTGATGTTTTTTTCTCTAGTTTTGGGAAGTTTGGGCCATTATTTTTTCAAATATTCTTTGTGATCTATTGTCTCTCTTCAGTTACATGTGGTTAGGCAGCTGGATATTGTCCCATGGTTATCTAGGTAGGCTCTGTTTTTTTTCTTCATTTTTCCCCAAACTGGTTAATTTCTGTTTATTTAACTTCAACCACACTGACTTTTTATTTACTTATTTTGCCTTCCTTTGCTATTAAGACAGTACAGTCAATTTTTCATTTCATTTACTTTTCTTTCCTGCTTTAGAGTTTCCATTTGGTTCATTTTTATAGTTTCTGTTTCTCTGTTTCTCCTTAGTTTCTTTTTGTCTAATTCCTCTTTGTCCATTCCTGATCTATATATTTTCCTTTTGCTCCTCTAAGGGCTGTAAAGTTCCTGTCTGCTGATCACAACATCTGGGTCACCTTGACTTTGGTTTCTATAGACTGCTTTTTCTTTGAGGGTGGGAGTCACATTTTCTTGTTTCTTCAAATGTCTAGTGATTTTTGATTCAACACTAGACATTACAATGGTCCATTATAGAGGTTCTAGATTATGTTACAGTCCTCCTGAAGGATTTTTGTGTTAGCAGGTAGTTAACGTGATGAGAGTCAAGTTCTGAACTCGTAGGTCTCCTGAATTAGCAGCAGCTGAAATCTCCATTCAATTCTTTTAGTTTCCAGCTACTGCTTTTTTTTCTTGCTCCCCCACTCCCTGCTCCCCATGCCCTGATGTCTCCAGGCAAGAATTTGAATATACTTTATATGCAGATTTTGGTGTTTGCCCTCCCCATCCCTTTCAGGGTTCTTTAACTTTGTGACTGCTTTGCCAGGCCTGAGCCCTGTCCACAGCTACCCTGAACCATACCTCATAGAGGTTAGTGAGTGCCCTCGGGCAAAACGTGCAAATTTATAAATGTAAGAAAGTGCAGTTTCTTCCCTTGAAAGGTCAACTCTCTTCTAGTTTCTGCCTGCTTTTGACCTTTCTCTAGTGCCTTCACATAATTTTTAAGTATTTTGTCCACGTTTTATAATTGTAGAAGGGCAGCGTGACAGCTATTTTGTCACTACTGGGAGTCAGAAGCCAGGCACATGCCCTTTTGGACTTGCATTCATATCCTCTGCAGCTGTGGGCTGAGCCACTGTGGAGGGAATAGGGCTTTTTCCTCAGGGAGCTACAGTTTCAGACGAGGAGTAGAGAGGGCATGGAGCACCATGGGAGGGTCTCAGGCAGCTTGGAGTGCCGTACCAAAGTACCCCAGGCGGAATTGCTTAAATAACAGATTCTTTTTTCCCTCAGTTGTAGAGACTGGAGATCAAAGATCAAGGTGTTGGCAAATAGGGTTTCTCTTGAGGCCCCTTGCCTTAGCTTGCACATGGCCATCTTCTCCCTGTGCCTTCATGTGGCCTTTTCTCTGTGTGTATATGTCCCTGGTATCTCCTCTTCTCTCTTATAAGGGCGTTAGTCTTGTTGGATCAGGACCCATTATTATGCCCTCATTTAACCTTGATTATCTCCTTAAATGCCCTGTCTTCAAGTACAGTCACACTGGAGATTAGGGCTTCAGTGTGAATTTGTCAGGGGGCAGGGTTCACATAACTTAGTCCATAGCAGAGCATAATCAAGGCTGGGTATGATTCGCGAGCAGGCAGGAGAGACAGAGCTGTGCTGTAGGGAAGGAATTAGAACACCTTTAATCAGTCATTAAGTCATCCACCATATAAATGCGGAATGTCTCTCTATTCCTGGCACATAGTGAAGGGCTGATGGTTCAGTATGGACAGGACTGGCCCTGTCCCGGTCCTCCTGGAGCTCACAGCCGAGGGGGATAAAAAGACTGTAGACAGACTGTGATATTGCAGAGTGATGATAGAGTATGGATAGATAGGAAGGTCCCCAAATAAATCTATGGGTCAGGGAAAGCTTCCTTGAGGAAATACCTTTCTAAACTGAAACCTGAAGTATGAGTCAGGAATCAGCTATGGAAGAAGGGCACCCCAGGTCAAGCACAGGGATTGGCAAGTGTGAGGGGCCTTAGGGTTGAGGGGGGATCTGCATGCTGGAGAAACAGGTCATTTGGCACAGCTGGAGCTGGGGTCACTGGGGGAGCCAAGGGTAAGGGCGAAGGCCAGAAAAATAGGCTGGGGCCAGCTTCCTTGTTGAATCTTAACTTTGTCCCTCCAGATGGGAGATTCTTAACAGTGTCTCCTTCCTCTTGGGGTCCCCTTCCTGGCACAGTAAGTGCATAGCGAATATCAACAGGGACCATGTGTTATGATTTAAGGGTGGAAGGCCGAGGTGGGGAGGTTGGCTGTGTGGGTGACCTCACCTCCTAAGTCAAGCAGGTCAAGGGCCCAGAGGTTGCTGACCTCCCTGGGCTCCCCTGCGCCTGGGCTCCGGGTCACATGTGTGGTGTTGTTGTTCAGCCCTGGACAGCGAGTCTGCCTCTAGCAGCATCCGCTTCAGTAAGGCCTGCCTGAAGAACGTCTTCTCTGTCCTGCTCATCTTCATCTACCTGCTGCTCATGGCGGTGGCCGTCTTCCTGGTCTACCAGACCATCACAGACTTCCGCGAGAAACTCAAGCACCCTGTCATGTCGGTGTCTTACAAGGAGGTGGATCGCTATGACGCCCCAGGTAGAGCCTGCCCCGGATGGGCATCAGGACCCGGGTCTGGGGCATTGGCTTGCAAGTGAGCCACCATTGTACTCCCACACCAGGCTGGGCACAGTCAGGGTGGAGAGCAAACACCCAGGGAGCTGCTGTCAGGACCCAGCGGAGTGTGTCCCGTGCTGGTGAGAGGGGTGCACAGAGCCTGGAGTGGTCAGTGTGTAACTGGGGTGGGCACGGAATGCTTTGCACAGAGATAGGATTTGAGCTGGGAAGGGGATTAGCAGGAGCAAGAGTGAGTGTAGGGAGGCAGAGCACTCCCGGAGAGGATGAATATAGCCTGGCTGGAGCCAGAGGCCATGATGAAGGGCAGTGGGGGTGAAGGGTGGCAGGGGAGGGGAAGTCATTCAGCAGTGGTGAGGGCCCTGCCTGGGGAGGGGGTCACTGGCTTTCCTCCTCCAATGTGAGGCTGGGCCCTGAGGAGGCAGTTGTCTCTGCCGTAGAAGGTAGTGTCTCCTTCAGGGCAGCGGGGCCGGCTCTGGGCTTTGGAAGTGGGGGAGCGAACTGGGAGGCGTGAGCTCCGTGGGCACCTGCTGTGCCCACAGGATGCCGGCGTCACCCTCCGGATGGCCTGCTCACAGGGCACAGCCAGAGTCTCCGGCGCCTTCCACCTGGGCTTCTTGAAAGCCTGCTGCTCGCAGCTTTCCCCCCCATCTTTGCCTGTCTTGTGTTTGTCCCTCTTTCGGTGTCTGTTTTGGTCCCTTTCTCTGTGGGCACTCCTTTCTATTGCTGATCTCTGGTCTCTCTGAGCTCTGCCTGCATCTGGTGCCACACCCTGCTCTCATGTTTTTCCTCTGTCAGGGGAGCCTCCGGTGAGGTTCTGTGGTTGGGGTGGGGGAGGGACCTTTGGGGTATGACTTGCACCCCTGGTTAGAGCAGGTGAGAGCCATGGTGACACGGGGAGACTCCCACAGCTGAGGGCTCTAGTGGATCTGCCCGTGGGTGGTGGCGCTGCCAGGCCCAGTCACGGAGGCCCCTGCGGGGTGTGCTGAGCAGGGCTGGGAAGTGGGTGGGTTTTGGTGCAGGCGCCAGGGAGGCTGCGCCCCGGGCCAGGAGAGGCGCTCTCCGAGGGCAGCAGCCGTGGCTCCCCACCCTCCCTAACCCTCTTCTTTTCCCTCCTCTGCCATCACCCAGGGAGTCTTCAACTTGGGTGGTTGGTGGGTGTGAAAAACTGTGTGACGTGACTGTAGGGATATGATGGGGGACCGTGACTTCTGACACTCCCGTTTTCCTGCTTGGCCCCCCCCCCCAGGTATTGCTCTGTACCCTGGACAGGCCCAGTTGCTCAGCTGTATGCACCACTACGAGGTCATCCCACCCCTGAGGAGCCCTGGCCAGCCCGGGGACGTGAACTGCACCACCCAGAGGATCAACTACACGGACCCTTTCTCCAGCCAGACCCTGGTAACTCCCGCCTCCCCGCGCCAGGCAGCGCACGCCGTCAGCCCCGCACCCCGCAGCCCCCGGTCTTCTTTCTGCCACGAGGCCGCTCACACTGCCTCCATGCAGGCCCTTGCCCCCAGCGACCATGAGGCTGTCCTACACAGGGTTCCGGCCATCAGGACACGGGTGGCCGGCTGCATCAGGAGGGGCCACGAGGGCGTCAGCATTCTCTGAGCCTCAGGGATTCCTGACAGTGCCATCAGAGCCTCTCCTCGCTGGAAGGATGCGGCACAAGGCCGGTGGGACGTAGTCACATGGCTGACTGCCCAACACAGCTGCCAGGAAATAGATTCCCAGGTTCCATATGGGGCCAGCCATTCCCGGGCACAGGGCCTGGGAGTCCATATTTTGAAATAAATATGTAAAGAAGCTGGTCTGGGAACAAGGACCCCAGCACTGGCGTCAGTCACAGCTCAGCCCAGCGGGGGTGGGGGGTGGGGAGGTGAGTGGTGGTGGGGCCGGGGCAGCGGTGCCTGCACAGGCTGGGAAGGCAGGGAGGGAATTTTGTGTTTATTTACATCTTTTTTGTGTCCCGTATCCTTGCTTCAGAAAGGATTGGATGGGACTGAGTAAAAGCTTTATAGATCAAAGAGAGGAAGGCAGGGTTTTCAAGGTAGAGGAGCCAGCATGTTGCATTTGTGTCTGCACCGTTACAGCAGTCGCGGGTGTGTGGGTCAGGTGCCCCCCCGCGAGCAGCGGAAGGCGACGCTGAGGACAGAAGGAATGGCCACGAGAGAAGAAAACGCGTGGCCTGCTGTGCAGCCAGACATGCGGCTCTGGGAGGGTCTGAGGGGGGACAGTTGCACCGAGGTGGTTCCGGTAACCTTCGTTCCAGGCCTCCTCCTAAGATCCTGCTGAACTGATTCCCTCTCCTGTGAAAACCAGAACAAGATCACGTATCCATGATAGCCTCACAAAGCCAGCAGGGCTGTCACCGTGGACGAGGCATTTTGAACTGGTGTGAAGCAGGAGTTGGGTCAGGTGGATGGAGCAGACACGCCGGAGAAAGGCCGCTCCGAGGGCAGGCGCGGGAGAGGCTTCAGTAGAGGTGGAAGCCTGCCTTCCGGCTCCTGGCTCCGAATCAGCACGCTCGAAGGGCAGGGCCACGGTCGAGCCAGTTGTCACGGTATAGTCACCCTGGTACCGGGCCACCGCTCTCCTGCCCTCCCAGCGTGCGGAGCTGCTGGGGACGGTGTTTGCTTCCAGGTACGAGGCCCAGGGGCCCTTCGTACGTTCGTCAGCGCTGGGGAGGTTCCCTGCTTGGGCACTGGGGCAGCAGAGTAGAAACGGAGCAGAACTGCAGACCGGGCCTCCACGGGGGAGGGGACAGGGCTGGAAAGGAGTCTCTCCACGCGCGAGAACTGTGCTGAGTACGCGGCCTGCTGGCGTTGTCTGCCCGCAGCCACCAAGCGTCGGCCCCGGGCAAGGGCACGCCTGTGGGAGAACCTGCTCAGGGGGACACCCACACCCCAGCCCCCTGCTAGTCACCCTGCTCCTTCTCGGGAGGGGGAATGGACAACGAAGGCTAGCTCGGCATTTACAGCACACTGACAGCTAAGAGAGGACCAAGAGGAATAAAATAGAATGGACTCCAGAATAGGGAAATGGATGCTAATTTAAAGGAAAGGGAGAATAATTTGTAAACATTTTAAGGAAGAGCTTGATGTGCCATAGAAACGCTGTGTGATTCCCAGCTCTTCTTGCCGCTCTGGGAGACATACCAGCCGGACACCCGGCACTGCACATGCGGGTCTGTGGGTGGCCTTCCTGTCACCTCTCAGCCCCCTGAGCAGCACGCTTCCCAGGAGCCCGTTGCCTTCATTCCCAGCCCTGTTCGCGCTGGTTGTACTTAAGTGCAGTAATTATGTAATTTAACTAAATACTATAAACATCCATGAAATAAGGGCACAAAAGGAGAGTTGTTTTTTAACATAAATAATTTTTCAAAGTTTATTTATTTTGAGAGAGAGCGCAAGTAGGCTAGGGGCAGGCAGAGGAGAGAGAATCCCAAGCAGGCTCCACACTGTCACTGCAGAGCCCAATGCAGGGCTTGAACTCAGGAACTGTGAGATCATGACCTGAGCTGAAACCAGGTGCTGTAAGGAGAGTTGTTTCTGTGGCAACTACGGTGAAGGCAGTTAGCTGCGTCCAACTCTGGTGATGTCAGGCTTCTCCAGCCTTTCTAGATGTGGCTCCTGGGAGAGGAGTTCGGCCGTGCAGCCCCACAGTGGTGGTAGAGGAGGGGCGGGGGAGCACAGGAGAGCCCACTTTCCCCCCTCCCCGACCCAGGACATGGGGGCGTGGCAAGTGGCCTTGAGGAAGCTGACAAGGGGGGTGTGTGGCTCATCCCATCTTGGCACCCAGGGAGCAGGTTGGTTGGAGACGTCTGAGTCCTCGATAGCCCCTGGCCTTGGCCACTGGGAGACTGTCTCGATGGAGGTGCAGGTCGTCCGCGGTCATGCCTGGAGTGGATGGCAGAAAATAGGCCCTCCGGCGCCCAGCTTTGCATACCCGCTCCCTGCTGTGTAGGCTGACACCTTGTAGACGTGGTGCTAGGCTTGAGGGCTTGTCCTTTACTCTGCTCTGGGAACCAGGTAGGCTGCTGGCTCTCTGCCTCCTGGTTTGTCTGCATGAAAGCGACACAGCAGGGGCTTCATCTGACCTGCTTTGTCAGACTTCAGGTTCTCATGGTTTTTTAGTGTCTCTTGTGCCTGTAGCTTAGGTAACTTTTATCATGGGCTTTGCTCTGCCAGAATTAGGGCCACCGTCCCCAGCCTGTAGGACCTCCTGCCATATTCCCAGTGTCCAGATGTTAAGCCCTTGGCTCTTGTAGGTTGTTCCCACGGCACGCCAGTTCCAGAAAATAACTGCGTGTTGGGCAGAGAGTACACTAAGCTGCTGTGCAAAAGCAAACACCCCCCCGCAGACCCAGTGGCTGAGACCAGAGAGAAGTCTATTTCTGTGGAGCGGGTCGGGCGTGCAGGCGGTGGGCATAGGCCGTGCCACCTCACAGGGTGGGCAGTGACGGCTTGTGTCTGTCACTCTGCCATCCCCCCCGGCACGGTCTTGGGCCTCGTGGTCAGCGCTGGCTCGCCGGCACGTGTGTACGTTTCTCGCTCTGGGAGGGTTAGGTGTGGGGACAAGCGGTGCCCTGTTTCAGGACACAGTGTGGAGTCGCATGAGTCACTTTGGTGCCCATTCCAGGAACTTCATCACATGGCCGCGGCCATGAGGCTCCAGCAGGGCGACTGTGCTGCTAAAATGTGGGATTGGGGAAGCGGTTGGAGTTCTCCAGGAGGAGGCGGGTAGTGGGGACAGTGAGCTGAGCGTTCCCTGCTGCCACTCCGTGTGTCCTGGAAAGGTGGAAAATAAAGACATGGACAGAGGTCTCTTGGGAAAATGCAGCAAAAGGCGCAACAAGTGAGTGGGCGCATTAACGTCAGTCACACTGGTGAACCAGGTGCAGAGTGTTACGAGAGAGATGTTGAACTCGGATTAAAAAAATATACGATTCTCCACTAAGATTTAACCGTTAGAAATCTTTGTGTGCAAAACAGCATTCCATCTGCATGTTTTAGGCAAAGCCTGTTAGAAACAAAAAAAACCATCGCCTTAAAGTGTGACTAAATGCACACTTTGCTCTTTCCCATTCACAGAGTGAACAGACACAAAGTAGTCAGGACGAGGACTGAGCAGCACAATCCGCAAATGTGGAGAGTGTGTGCGTGTAGCACCTCGTGCCTGACGGTGCTCGCTCTTCAAACACTGGTGGAGCGTTTGTGGCGGTTACTGCTGTACAGATGTTTATCTGTAATTCATTAATCTGTAGGTCAGTTGCAGTAACTTAACTCATCTGTAAATCCAGCGTCCTCACAGTTAAAAGTCCCAGTTGATTTTTTTCATGGGATTTAAGGGTTTGGTGTTAAAGTGCACGGAGAAGAGCACGTGTACCCGCTGGGGACGGCGGTGAGGAGGCACGCCGCGGAGGGGACCTGCCCTCTCAGGTGGCAGCACAGTGTAGACCTGTAGGTTTCAAACCCACATCTGTCCTCTGTCTGGGGAGTGGGATGCAAAACTGAAGGCCAGGCACATATGTCTGAGTCTAAAAAAGTTTAAAAAGTGCTATAAAGAAAAGGAGAACATCAGTGTGATTTTGGTTGCCCTTAGCAAGACCTGGAAGCCATAAAGAAAAAGATTCACAGATATCACTGCATCAGATTAAAAGCTTCATCTAACAAGTGATATTAGAAACAGAGTGAATGGCAGAGCGGCAGACTGGAAGAAGACGACATTCCTCCGTGTACTGGACGCATGTTCGCGTCCCTCCTGAGGGCCCCCGTGGCACCGGCAGCCAGTGAGGGAGGCGGACGGAGGACGGCTGCCCCAGCTCTGGGCCGGGCGCCACCCGGAGGGCCGTCCCGTGGGGCTGAGCCGGAGCCGGCAGTGGACGGCAGGAAGGGGGTGGCCCGTGGTCGCCTGGGGACCTCAGGGGCTCGCCCAGGGCTGATTGTGGCCCTTGTCTCTCTGCAGAAGTCCGCCCTGATCGTGCAGGGGCCCCGGGAGGTGAAGAAGCGGGAGCTGGTCTTCCTCCAGTTCCGCCTGAATGAGAGCAGCGAGGACTTCAGCGCCATCGATTACCTCCTCTTCTCCTCCTTCCAGGAGTTCCTGCAAAGGTGGCGTTTCCAGTCGGCGGCGGGCCAGCGGTGCACGGTCCCCTGGCAGCTTGTTCATCGGGGGCCGGGCCTGGCAAGCGGGGCAGCGATGGGGGGCCCACCTGCCCGGGGCCTGGCCTGGAGCCCGGTTGCTCCGGGAAACCTGTCTTCACTAAGTGAAGCGGGTCTGGCGTGGCGAGTATTGGCCCTGCCCGTTTTGGGGTGGGGGGTGGGGACGGGGTAAGGCGAGAGGAGCTGCCTTGGACCATGTGAGCCCCCGGAGGGCAGTCCCTGCCTCGGCCTGCTCTCCCCTGTGGTGTCCTGGGCAGCGTGTCTAGCGCGCAGTGTGTGTTTGCCACACGTTTTTAATATGGGGATGAAGCTTCCTGTCTGCGTGGGGGACACATGGGCCCAGGGTGCTCGTTGGGGGCAGCAGCCACCCAGGAGGAGAGGTGGCCCCCCCGGCTGATGAGGCCATGGGCCACCCCCCCACCCCCCCACACCATTGCTCTGTCCTTCCTGTTCTGGAGCTGGAAGCCTCGGCTGCTGTCCTCCACTCTGTCTGCCCCCCCAGCCTCCCTCTGCCCTCCGCGTGGAGCCGAGGAGCCGTCCTCCCCACATTGGGCCTCGCAGAGGGAGGCTGGCAGGCCAGCGAGGCCTCCTCAGGGCCAGCACGGGTCAGAGTTGTCATGCCTGAGGTGCCCCTGCCCACTAGGGGCCAGTGCCCTGGGAGCTGGGGTTGGGGGGAGCCGCCTCAGGGCAGGTGACAACTCTCCCTCCGTACGGAAGCCTAGAAGCAGAGCTTGGAGAGGAAGCGGGAAATGGGCCGCGTCCGGGTGGTGGCAGCCAAGAAGTAGGGGCTGGTGTTTGAGTCCAGCCGAGTTTAATCCTGCTCTCGGGCCTGACTCGGCCCTTTCTTCTCTGTCCTCCCAGCCCGGACAGGGCGGCATTCATGCAGGCCTGCGAGAGCGCCTATTCCAGCTGGAAGTTCTCTGGCGGCTTCCGCACCTGGGTCAAGATGTCCCTGGTGAAGACCAAGGAGGAGGACGGCCGGGAAGCTGTGGAGTTCCGGCAGGAGGTAGGTGGCGCCAGGTTTGCTTTGTCCACCCTGGAGTCGGGGCTGGATGGAAGCTTCGTAGTGGGTGGGGGGATGACCTTGGGGAAGTGGTGAGGTGAGAAGGGATCCCGTGCCAGGGAGTGCATGTGTCCCCCAGGCTGGGCTCGCTCTAGGCCTTTCCCTGGGCATGCGGGCCAAGCAGGGACGCCTGCATTTCACAGAGCAGGAGATGCGCCCAAGCACAGCCCGTGTTCTTGGCCCCCAGAGGCAGCTGGTCGCATGGAACCCGGAGGATTTGCAGGGAAGGGAGACGAGCTACAGTGGCCTCCAAAGTGTGGTGCTTGTGAGGACCCGTTGGGATGCATGAGGAAAATACTAGCTTTCTTTTTATACTAGGATTTCTTGATCTTACCCTTTTTTAATTTTTAAATATCATGAACGGCACGTAACATTGGAATAATAGTAATGTTTAAGTCACTTGTAAGGAAGTCATGTATGTTGGGTATGTGCTCAAAATGTGTTACTAATGGGAAGTGGGATTGATGCTTTCTGCCCACTGGCCTGGAACAGACGGGCCTGAGGTTTCTAGCCACGGTCTCGGCAGTGGATGGCGAGGGCCTCGGGAAAGGGCCTGGCATTGGTGGTGGAGGGAGAGGATGTTTTGGTTGCCATGGCCAGGCTGTTGGCCAAACTCACCGAAAGCGAGGCCACACCCCTGCCTTTGGGACTTCCACCTCGGCAGCGGCCACCCCCTCCTCACATCCACACCCTGAGGCGGCCATCCGTGTATCAGTGGCTGAGTGCCTGCGGCGGCCGCGAGGGGACGAGTCTGTTCTTGAAAACTCGGCTCCTCCTTGGGAGTGTTTCAGCCGGCTGGACCCTGGTGCGGGGGCAGCATTGGGAAAGGCCTGGGTTCAAGTAGAAGGACCCTCTCCGAGCGATGACAGGGCTGTCACGGGGCAGAAGCCATGCACTCGTCCAGGCCTGCCCCTTCTCTGAGGCCTGGCTCCTGAGACTGGAGAGGAGGAGAGCTTCCAATTTTCCTCAAGAGGACAGGCTTTGTTCCTGCCTTAGGAGGTGGACGCCCTCCCCGCAAGCAGTGCATTCCTAGTGTGTAGGGTAACGGTCATGTCCTGGACTTGAGAGCGCCCAGGCTCTTCCTCCTCTGGCTGCACAGCAGCTGAGGAAAGGGGCCTCGATATGTTCACCCTGCAGTTAGGAGCATCCTGTCTGCCCGACTCGCCCCACTGTTCGGCACCCAAAGGGACCCAGATCCCGGCGAACAGCTACATTTTATGATGTTTGTGCCGTCTGTGATTGTCTAAATTGGAAGTCTTCCGGCGGGTGACATGAACTCTTTTGAACAAAGCTGAAAAATGTTTTTTATGTAGTGTTTTAAAGTTTAAAATACTTGCCTATGTCTTGTCTCATTTGATCCTGACCACTCCTCGGTGACGCAGGCATTTTGTTTCTTTGCGGAAGACTTGCAGAGTTGAAAGACTTAGCTTCTAAGATCAAGTATTTTGAAATTTGAGATTTTTAGGACTTCTAATTTGTCCTCACATGATACTTTGCATATGATTTAATCATGGGTCCAGATATCTAAGGACGGATTTTGGTGACAATCCAGAACGCCTGTTGTACATCCCAGATGCTATTTGTTTCCCCAGAGAGCTGGAAACCAGAGTAAAGTCTCGGCCCTGGTTCCAGTTTCAGGATTTGTTTATGAGATTTTTCGGCTTTCTCCCTCCAGAAGATGATGTGAAGAGAACCAAGGACCAAGATCCCCTAACTTCCTTCTCCTTTCCTGCTACCCAGGCGAGGGAGGGGCGCAGAGGTTGTAACGCTGTCTCTTCTCTCTGCCTAGACGAGTGTGGTCAACTACATTGACCAGAGGCCAGCCGCTGAAAAAAGCGCTCAGTTGTTTTTTGTGGTCTTCGAATGGAAAGATCCTTTCATCCAGAAAGTCCAAGATGTGAGTATTACTTAAGGTTCCCGTGGCAAACCCCCTGTGCTGAGGTATTCTGGCTCATTCTTGCAGGCCGTCCTCTTCTCTTCTGACACAGATCACTTTGTCATTTATGACACTCATGTTCCGTTATTTGTGTTTAATCAATCTTATCATCACTACACAGTTGTATCTATGAAGGTGGGAACTTCCTCTTTTGTCTGCCATTAGTTATGCACTGCCTGGCAGAGTGCTTAGTACAGAGTACTTGCTTAGTAGTAGTAGTGTGTGTGTGGAGTGAGTAGAAAGCCTGGACTGCATTAAGCTAATGTCTAGATTACTGCTGTTGGAAGCCATTCTTTTTTAATGCATCTCTGTTGGATAATAGCCATTATTTGTCAGAGCAGAAAGGTAGAAATAAAAATCAACAGTGCATCGGTTAGTGCTAGATTCCTAGACTCAGTCTCAGAAAGGGAGGAACGATAGGACAGCTTTGCTAGAGGAACATTCGGGGGAGACACCATCCACCAGAGCTGGTCTCACATCTGATACTGATTGGCGTTTAGGTAATCCCAGAATGTGCTGATGTGGTCGGAGCTTAGGGGAAGCACCTTGTGTGGCTGAGGTCCAATGTCAGTGCTCTGTAATCACCCACCGCCACTGTGACCCGTGGACAGGCAGGGCCACATACACAGTGGCGTGTGCAGCTCGTGGAGTTGGGAGTCTGGATGGAAGAATGAACGCCTTCGGCTCTACAGCCGAGATGTGTGGGCTCACATTTTTCACTTACGCTATTCAGTAGGAAGTGCCCATGGAGCCAAGGAAAGCCCACGCCTGAGGCCTGCTTTTCTCGTGTCATCACCCAGCTTCATCACGGTCCGGGACAGTGGTGCCTGGGCGCCCGTTCTGTATCTGAACCCTGAGGCGCAGATTATTCAAGGTCACCCTGCTAGACAGACTTGAAAGGGCTGTGGGTCCCATGCTGGGGGCTCAGAAAGAAATCCAAGATGTGACCTTGGCCTAGAAGCATTTAACATTTAATGAGAATGTGGTTGATAGCTGTGAAGTGACTCATTCTAGACAGCAGGTAGCTGCCAGAGGACTTTGTGGGATAAATGTCTCTGCCAAAGTCAAGAGGTTTTTTTTTTTTATTTTGGAGAGTTTTTTTTCATAGTTTATTGTCAAGTTAGTTTTCTTATAACACCCCATGCTCATCCCAACAAGTGCCCTGTTCCATGCCCATCACCCCTTTTCCCCTCTCCCCCACCCCCACCATTCCTCAGTTTGTTCTCAGTTTTAGAAGAGAGTCTCACGGTTTGCCTCCCTCCCTCCAACTATTTTTCCCCTTCCCCTCCCCCATGGTCCTCCATTAAGCTTCTCCTGTTCCACATATGAGTGAAAACATATGGGATCTATCCTCCTCTGCCTGACTTATTTCACTTAGCATAACACCAAGGGGAGTTTTTGGCTTGATGGTCAGAGAGTGCTCCAAGGAGCCGTGAAGGATCAGTAACCTTGAGTAGGAGCAAAGCGGCGCAGGCTGGGGGGATCAGGGCGTGGCTTAAAGGCAGGAGTCCGGATGGTGAGACTGTCCCTGGGCCGGGTGGAGGGCAAGTGTGAGAAACGATGAGATGGGAAGCAAACAAGAGGAACTGACCTTACGGAGTGGGCAGTTCTGGGGAAGTTTGTCTCAAACTATCCCAGTAAGTGTGGATAGGCCAGAAACTTAAGCCTCAGTACTGAATAGCTAATTTGTGCAGAGCTTTTTTGAGAAAGTTTATTTTTTTCAGGATCACTTTATGGTAGGAAGGAATTCATATTTTTCTTCTCAGACTTGAGCTGTGCACATTAAAGGTCTAGTCAGAATGAAGTACAGGGTCATGGCCGTTTTAGAGCCAGGTGTTTTTCTTGTTGCTCCAATAATCTGGGGCAAGAGGATCTTGACATAACCCTAGTGTGACCTAGGAATCCAAGCTGAAGCAAACTGAGAACACGTGTGTTCGTTTGTTTTCCAGATAATCACCGCCAATCCTTGGAACACAATTGCCCTGCTCTGTGGGGCCTTCTTGGCGTTATTTAAAGCAGCAGAGTTTGCCAAACTGAGTGTGAAATGGATGATCAAAATTAGGAAGAGATACCTCAAAAAAAGAGGCCAGGCAGCAAACCACATAAGCTGAAGTGGCCTTGTGTTCGCAGAACTGCTCACAGCGATGGACGTTCTGGTCACTTCTGCGCGGAGAAACGAGCCGCTGGCAATCCTGTGCTCACTTGAAACGGGCCTTGCTACGAGAACAGCCTGCCGGCCTGCAGCTTCTAACCTGGCCCTAAGAGAGGATGTTTAAAGCATAATGGAACAGATCCAATGGATAACCTAAAACTTATTTAAGTATTTAAATTATTAACGAACATTTTTGGATATATGATGAGGGATTGTGGAAAATGGAATCAGATCTGTATCAAAGTTTTCTGAAGGTTTGTGGAAGTTGCCTTTCTTATTACTTGGTTTGGTGCATAGTTAGGCTCTCATGGGATAAATAAGATTCTTTTTCCTTAGCTTCTCCCCCGCTCCAGCCCCCACCCCAAGTTTCTAAAGTGGACAAAGAGAGTGTGGTTTTCTTTTTCCTCCAAATCCTGCTTCTGTAGGTGTGCAGGTTATGCTTTGAAACCTCTGCCCACCATACCCAAAAGCAAGAATCCTGAGGTCTTGGGTGTCAATTGCCAGTTACATCATCTGGCCTCTTGACTTGCTTTTTCCTTTGTTAAATATGAAATGGGGCTTTTTTTTTTTAAAGCTACTAGAAACCAGTAATACAATTTCTTGTAGGTCGACTAGCTACCACCCTGTGTGGCTAGAATATGTGTTGATGCAGATGTAAGACCGCAGAGCCATTAACATTGCAGAAGCACTGGGACATATGTACATAGGAGGTGCCTACTCAGTGTATTTTGATGATTTTGTTAACAGGTAAATAAAAGTTAGGTTAATGCAAAAAGAGTCAGTGTGCCAGTATGAATACCTGCTGAATCAGCAGGCGCCGGTACACTTTCATTCTGTGACCTCCAAGTGAGTGGCAGCATGAGCTCGGACTCCCAAGATGGAGAGATCTGGCCTCCCGAGGTAGGTCATGAATGCGTCCAAGGAAAGGTCAGGCGCACGTGGCAGTGGGTGGCAGCCAGTCAGGAGGAGTGACAGAGCTAGCCGTGTGGATAAGTGGGGTGCTCTTCCTGTCCTACGAAAGCAGCCGTCTGAGAACGGGGCACTCTGTGTGACCCCCAAAGCCTTCAGCTTAGCTTTTGACAAGAGGCGAGGACTGAAATGTTTTTCACCTGGTAGCTGTTGGCTGATTTAAGGTTCCGAGAATGGTCTCCAGAATTTCACATTATTTACATGCTGGATTTCATAGCCTGGCTTTAGGTAGTTTAAAGAGGAAAAACTCAAATGTATACGAGTGGGGCATTCTTACCGCATGTCTAACTTAGCAAGAGTCTTTTGGTCGAATTACTAAAGGTAAACTTGTGCAAAGACGTACTCCCTGGTACTTTGCGATGCCAGAGAAGCACGCACACTCATGCCAGCCTAGGTCTTGTTTCTGTAAAGTGTTTCTGTAAGGCAAACGCGAAGCCAGGCATAGAAGTTTACGTTAACAGTATTGGAAAACCGGTGTGTTTTGTATCTCTAAAGAGGACACCACTTGAAAATTCAATATCTAATAAAATTTGCTCAGATAAACACACCAAAACTGCATTTCCTGTATTGTGCAAAGTTGAGAGGCCTCTTAAATGTGCTTTAGGATACATAGATAAGAAGCATTTTTAGCTTGCCGGACTGCACCGTGGCTGCTCTTCAGTGAAAGTAAGATGTAAGTCTTCCACTGAACAGACATTGAGATGTAGCCTTCACTTTCTGGAAAGGCAGGGCCCTGCCGTCGATCCTGTGTCCTGTAGTAGGATCACCCTGGTCCTCCAGGGCTGCCCCCAGATGTCAGTGACACTGGCTAGCCTGGGGTTAGTGTGGACGGTTGTTGGACCAGAGCACCTGGATGGCTGCGATAAGGCGGCTACTTGAGACCATAGAACAGGAGTCATGTAGGAAGAGTTTCTCCTGGGGCTGCAGTGAGGGAAAAGCGTTGCTTGTACAGTGACCTGTAGGAATAGCAGGCAAAACGCTCGACTTCTTCATGAATGCAAGAGAGCGGAATGTTTGTAATGTCTGTTTTCTGACTCTGCCACAACTTCCTGAACCACTTCTCACCCAGAGAAGTGCTGTTGTTATAAATTTGGAGATTTATTCTTGTGGGTCTATTTTAATTAAAACTGACATTTAAGGTAATGTGAGCCTGTTCCCTAAACATAGAGGACTTGAAGATGAAAGGATAGCCTAGAACTCAGAATTTTAGGCAGACATTCTATAAAGAGGCAGCAGACTACTTCTGGAAGTCTTAGAGCTGGAAAAAGCAAAGACAACATCGGCAAAATATAAACATAGACTTTATTAAATGCTGCTCAATCCCCCAATGAAGATCTTTCATTACAAAACAGTTTTCCACACAACTGCAAGAGATTGGAATGGTACTCAGAACAAAAGAGGCGAGAAATACTTAAAACATATAAGACCTCTCTATAGTCCGCTTTCTCAGAACTCTACTGGGGCAGCCTACTGTATTTCCTTTAAATAAAGCCAGGCAGTGGCAGTGAGTGCTTTGTGTCACCACACTGTGGGACTCAAAGCCTCCTTCCCTGGGTCAGGAGGGACTAGAAAAAGGGCAGGTTCTGAGGACTGGAAAGGCCCTGCCTTCAGCCTTTGGGAGGAAGAGGAGGAATGAACGGAGAGGCAGGCTCGGTGTTTACCTGCGCTGCCTCCACAAATCTGGGCTCGTTACCTGGGGAGTTGCTGATGAAGAGGGATATTCATGAGGAACAATCTGAAGAATTTGGTTTACTTTCCCAGCTTTTATTTCTATTTTGTGCTTTAAACCTGGAGATTTAAGTTTCTGCTCAAATTCCAGAGTGCAGTAGTATCTCTAATGAAGGAAGGCTTAGGGCAGGTAACTCCCCCCATCATGTTTCTTTTTCCTGGGATGTAACTAAGGTCTGCAGCAATGTGAAAAGCACATTATAAAAGGGAAAAGTATACAGAGCAGACTATTTTATCTATGTGCAACACAATCAAAAAAAGAATTCAAGTCATAATTCTTACCACTCCCATAATTAGCTCACTCATATAGATGATAAAGTTCATTTCTGTGAAACTGTAGAAGTGACACAAATTCATGATTAGACAAAGGTTACAATATACGGTGGCCATGATATAGCACAGGGCTATGTTTAGTCCATATTTTTCATTTACAGTTGCCAGAAAAAAAGTTGGCCTTTTAATTATACTGAGAGGTTTGTCTCATAATTTTTACATATTTCAAAAAAGTGTACAAAACTGCCTATCCAACAGAGGTGGTGGCTTTTTTTATTCATCACTTGTATTGCTGAGAATACTGTGCATGTTGTAAGCACTGTTCTGCTTTTCCAAAGCTTTCTTTAGCTTTAGCTCCTCTAATTTTTTCCATAACTCTTCACGTTCCAATTCCTTCTTTTTCTCTCTGTAGAGAAACCAAAATTTTTGTAGTCAGAAGCCTTTATTCAGAGCCTGAAGAAAGTTGCTGTTTGGCAGTTTGCTGGAGAACACACTGTTCATCCCCATTTCACTTAAAGCCCTCTACTAAAGCATTTGAGGCCAGTTACCTGGAGCACCTAATTACTCTGTCATGCTCCTGAGTGTAATTACTGTGTCTGTCTCCAGTACCAACTCAGAGTGACTCCTTGCTTTCTCTCCGCTACAGGTTCTCACTTCCATGACCACTTTGTCCTTCATGCTTTATTACATTCCCGTTCTCACCTAAACTCTCATCACCAGAGTTGACACAGTCACCCTTTTACGGAGACAGAGAGCTGGCCCTGAGGTCAGGCTGGAGCCGCTAACAGGCAGAATTGCCTCTCAGGCCACTGGTTTAACCAGTCTGTTCACCTCTTACATCAAATGAAAACTTTGAAGTTTGAACAATCTCTGAAAAAACAAAACTTTTTTATGTTTCAACTATTTGACTTCAGTTCTGAGGGAAACACTTCTGAATAACTTAGATCAAACTATTCTGATAGACTATAGGAACGTGGCAAACCATGGGCTGGAGCGCCTGGCTGGCTCAGTCGGTTGAGTGTCTGACTCTTGATATCAGCTGAAACCATGACTTACAGTTCCATGCCATTTAAGGGGACAAAGGTGCTAATTTTTGTAGATAATGATTATTTGTCATGTGAAATATACAAGTTATCTTATTAGATAATCTTTTTCTTCCCATTGCTTCCCAATTTAATTTCTGCCTGAAAGGCATGTTTCTGTTGTTTTTTTTTAAAGTTACTGATGGACTAGGATGCCCCTAAAGAGGAGCTATTCTTGTTCTACTTGCCACAGTTAAAACCCCGATTAGGAACTCTAGTCAAAAGAGATCAGGTATACTGCCCACCTAATGTCTGAAATAAATGAAAAGTGATTTTTAAAAGATTATTTTATATATAAAGTTCTTGAAAAGAGGTTATCTCCAAGGCAGCTTTGTAAATGCTGATATATGCTATCATCTCTATATATTGTGGCACGGAACAAAATATTAATAGTACTAAGCCAGAAGCATGTCATTATGTGAGCTTCCTGTGACCAAAGGAAAAAAAAAAAACCCCACCAACTTTAAGATACTATTTTGTTAGAATGTGCAGCTTAAAACTACCGAACTGTTGTGCAAAGAGCAGCTGCAGAGTAAAGCTCACTATGGAAGCCCACATGGACAAAAACGATTTTCATAGATAACAATAAGAAATCAAATTGTATGAAGTATATTTCACAATGCAGATGCTACCAGACTGATGAAGTCTAAGCCTCAGAATAAGATATAAACAGAGAATTTATGATCCGCATTAAAATTATAATCTAACCAGTCGGGGAAGTTCTTTATCTGGAGATGACTTAAGAGTTTAAGCATATAATTTGAAAGTCTCTAATGTAACGGACTTAAATACTAATTTTAACTTAGGCAACATACCTTATTGAACTGAATCACAACCAACCAACCTAAAGAGTATAAATAACTTGGTAATTAAAAATACCAAATACCTTTGTCTTTCAGCTTTGTAGGAGCTAGTAAGGTCATCAAAAAGCTTGCCATTCATTTCCATTAGGGTTTTCAGCACATTGTATACCAGTGCTACAATGGTCCTAAAATGAAAATAAGCATGTTGGGTTATAGGAAATGTAACACTGTCATCTCTAAATAGTGGCTGATTCACTTAATCCATTTTAGAGATGATAAAGGTGCAAGAGGTTTAGTAATTTGCTCAAGGTCACACAGCCAGTGGTGACAGATATAGTCTGATTCCAACATTCATGTCATATCATGCTTAAACTCTTAAAAAGGTTATCTTCATGGCTGCTCTACAGTCTCAAGCTAACAGTATTAAAAGATGAAAAAGATCTACCTACCATAACTTGTAACAAAAAAGAGGATTAGGGGGTTACAGAGGTTAGAATATATGCAGTCTGTTAAACATCACTGATGTGACCTTAAGCACTTCAGCTCTCCTTGGGATGCGCTAACCTGTAGAGGTTTGTGCAACGTTTGACCACATACTGGTGCAGAGTCACACCAGACTGTCCTGCCTTCAGGGGGATTTATAATTTTAAACTGAAATTAAGACCATACATGTATTTACAGCTTTGTGAAACTGTATGTAGATCAGGTGCACAACAGAATAACACTGTAATATTAACCTTAGCATAAGCTCCAAATCTTTATAGGTTTCATGTATGGGTTAGAAGATTCAAAGACAAAAAGCACAAACGTCAGAATACCATGATCAACATAAAAGACACTTACGGATTCCAGTGTTCTTTGGAGATTTTGTACAAACTGCCAAACATAATTGGGAGAATTTTATCAATATTCTCCTCAATCAAACTAAGAATATATTCATTATTCCAGAAGTACAGTGCCCTTTCTGCAACCTAAAAAGACATTTGGAAATGTCAAAACTAAAAGAGAAAAGAAATGCTAGTATAAAAAAATGGCTTCACTTACAACATACCTGAAAATGAGAACTGGATACACACTTGGATATTTGCTTAAAAAGGGGCTCTTCAATTTTTTTGAACTGTGTGGGTTCAATGACATCTAAGATTTCTTCAATTTCTCCTAAAAACATCACCTAGGTTTAAAAAATTATAAGAAATATGACAAGTTTTATGATTAATATAGAAAACTACAAATGAGAAGGTTAATCTACAAATTACACAGTAGACAAAAAAGGTCTTGATTGTATATGCAATTTACTATAATGCTCAGGTATCCCACCAAGTCTCTGTAGTCCCCAGAAAACCAGCTCCTGCTAAGTAGCACTGACAGTACAGCCAGCCCAAAGTAGCATGGTCATATACTAAAGCCCTAAGACTAAGAAGTTTTAGTGAAATCGCACTATTTTTGTTTAACGAAACCTACCTCTTTCTGACTGCATGTTTTTGGCCAAAATTTCAGCAGTCCTCTGATCACCTGCAAAAAAGTTTAGCACAAATTAAGCGATGAAGTTGGTTAATCCCAGGAAATTTTTAGTAATTGTGATTATACCAACATTCATTCCGAAGTAGATCAATATATAATATCTAAGTATCTCCAGACTTTCTGCTCAGCTTTACACTTTTATTAACTCAACAAGTATTTGCTGAGTGCGTCTGTATCAGATACTGTTCTAGACGCTAAGAATACAGAGATGAACAAGACAGATGACCTTGATTTTCAAAACGCAAGGAGACCAATGAAATTTATCCATTAAACATAAAAGTAATTTTAATAGTTAAATGCTACTTATTAGGAAGAAAATAAGGGAAAGTATGATAATGACTTGGTGGGATGATGGAGGAAACTTATTTTAGGGAAAAAGGAACAAAGAATTCCTATTACTGAAAACCATTTGAAGCACCAAAAAAGCCAGGAAGCTTCCCATTTCATAGCTAGCACCATCTTGATCACCAAGATAACACGGAAGGGACCATGAATTTAAGTGAACATAATTGCAAAAATCTGCATTAAACGGAACATTAACAGAAAAATATTTGCCCCATTATGCCTTACTCCAGAAATTCCAGGATAGTTCAACTCATTAACAGTTGTGTTAAAAGGGAAAAAAAACTATATGATCTTCTCAAGATTTTGAAAAGTTATTCAAAATGTCTGACTGCCTATGTATTCTGATAACAATTTAGTGAGCTAGAATGAAGAGAATTTATTAGAAACCATCAGCAATCATCTTATATAGTGATTTCCTGCAAACAGGCTGTAAAACCATCAGGGCCTGGTACTTTTGTGGAAATGTATCTTTGATAGCCTTTGAGGTTATTTTATAGCTATAGTCCAGTTATAGTAATATTTAATAACCTGGTCCTGTAATATACATTTCTTCAAATTAAAATTGGGAAAAACACCGTTCAGGAGACAGTCCAATAAGATAAAAAGGGTCCAATTAATATTCCTGGACAAGAATACCAGAATTATATTTATTTGTCTAAGTATAAAATAATTATATATCCTTTAAATTAAAAAACAAAAATTACTGGGGCACCTGCGTGGCTCAATCAGTTAAGCATCCGACTTTGGTTCAGGTCATGATCTTGCAGTTCTGAGTTCAAGCCCCAAGTCAGGCTCTATGCCGACAGCTCAGAGCCTGCTTTGGATTCTGTGTCTCCCTCTCTCTCTGCCCCTCCTCCACTAATGCACGCTCTCCTTCTCACAAATAATAAACATTAAAAAAAAATTTTAAAAACCCAAGTTACTAAAATGAGTAGGAAAATTCAATGTGGCCAAATAAATATATAAAGATCAATACCTTTAAAGATCAATACCTTTATAAAACAAAGTATCAGTAATGATAAAAAAGTGCATTTCCTAACAAAAACTAATGTACATAAAGAATAAAATTTGCAAGAAATGTTTACTGATCATGAAAGACTACAAATAGATGATTCAATATCATATATTTTTCTTATATTTAATGTAATTTCAAGTAACAACTGAATTACTTTCTGAAACTAGAAACATTTATTCTAAAATCTGTAAGTGTAAGCAAATAACCAAGAATTTTCTGCAGGGGGGAGAGGAAGAATTAACAGAGTAGAACCCATATTACTGATATTAGCCCAGAAACTGACAAAAATATATGAAATAAGGATGTGTGGCTAGCTCAGCCAGCAGAACATGTGACTCTTGATCTGTGGAGTCATGAGTTCAAGCCCCATGTTGGGTGTAGAGCTTATTTAATTTAAAAAAGCATGCAGGGGCAGGAAACAGAAGACTATCTACACTCATGTATGTATGTACGACAAAAGTGGCATTTCAGTTCCATGGAAAATAGATGAATTAGCCAATTAAGTGGTGGTACTTGGATTGCAGTCCCCCCATTTAGAAAGAAAAAATGTAGCTCTATTGGTAGCCAGACTCCTAAAGTGATCTTCCATGATCTTTACTATCCATACTTGGATAATCCCATCCCCTCAAATTGGGCTGGCCTACTGAGTTGACTCTAACCAACAGAATGTGGCAAAAGGGACAAAAATCCCCTCCATGAGTAGGTTATAGAAGATGGTGATTTCCATCTTACTAGGAGATTGTCTAGAGCCTTCTCATCTTGCAAGCTTTGATCAAGCAAGCTGCCCTGTTGGAAGGCCCATGTGACTAGGAACTGAGGGTGGCCTCTAGCCAAGAGCCAGCTAGGAACTTGAGGCCCTCAGTCCAACAGCACCTGAGGAACTGAATTCTGCCAACAACCACATACATTCAGAAGCAGATCCTTCCTCATGTGATCCTATCTGTGAGAGCCCAGCCGGGGCCAGCACCTTGATTACAGCTTAGCTGGAGACCCTGAAGCAGAAGACCCAACTAAGTAATACCTGGATTCCTCCTCACAGAAATTATGAGCTAATAAATAACTGTTGTTTTAGGCCATTAAATTTTGTGCTAATTTATTACATAGCAATAGAAAACTAGTAAACAGCAATAGAAAAGAATACCAGTTCTTCACCCTTTTGTCACACACAAAGTTCAATTACAAATGGTATAGCAGGTTAATGGTGGCCCTTCAAAAGATTTGTCCATGTCCTAATCTTTAGAATCTATGAATATGACTTATTTGGAAAATGGGTCTTTACAAATAAAATTAGTTAAGGATCTCAAGATGAGATCATCCTGGATTATCTGCATGGACCCTAAATCCAGTGATGTGTCCTTATCAGAGACAGAGAAGACAGAAGATGCAGCACTGGGAGACTGGAGCAGTGCCACAAGCCAAGGAACACCTGGAGACACGAGAAACTGGAAGAGGCAAGGAATGGAATCTCCCCTAGAGCACTCCCTCCTCCACTGAGGGCCCCTGCTGATAACTTGATTTTGGACTTCTGACCTTCAGAACTCTGGGAGAATAACTTTCAGTTATTTTAAGCCACGATGTTTGTGGTAATTCATCATAGCAGCCCTAGGAAACCATTACTGATGGAATAAAAGTTTTTATAGGTAAAGATGAAATCCATAAAATGAATAGGATACTGGAGAATATTTTTATAATCTCAAAGGGTAGAAGAAATTTTCTTAGTAGGACATCAAGGGCCGAAACCATAATGATGACTAGATTCCACTACATAACACTTTTTCTTTAGTTCTTTAAGGAAAGATTAAGAACTATATTCAGAGATACCTGGGTGACTCAGCTGGTTAAGTGTCTGACTCTTGATCTTGGTTCATGTCATGATCTTATAATTTGTGGGTTTGAGCCCTATGTCGGGCTCCATGCTGACAGCTTGGGGCCTGCTTGGGGTTCTGTCTTTCCCACTCTCTGCCCCTCCCCCACCTGCACTCACTCTTTTCTCTCTCAAAAATAAATAAACCTTAAACACAAAACTATAGTCAAATTTAAAAACTCCAAATGGACACAAACTATTTGCAAAATATAACCGGAAAATAATTAAAAGTAGGCAAATGACACAAATGTAAATGATTAATAACCATATGAAAGGATGGCATAATCCTTGTATTAAGAATGGTAGTAATAAACTTAATATTTCATACCTATTTGGCAAATATTTTAAAGTTTAACATTCAGCACTGGCCAGGGTGAAGGAAAATGCATCTTCACACTCTGGACTGTATTATTAAATTGTTCAGACTTTTTGGAAGGCAGTTTGGAATATGTTAGAATTTTCAAATACTCCTTGACCCAGCAACATGGTTTTAATTTTAATGATTTTTAAACATTTATATACATGGGGTTCCTGGTTGACTCGGAAGGACATGAATGTATTTCTTAGTCTTGGGGTTATGAGTTCAAGCCCCACATTAGGCATAATGATTACTTTTTAAAAAATATTTTTAAGTACTTAAAAAAATTTATATAGTAAAATTCTTTTGTGTTTGTAGGTGTATGTACTGTTTGTTCTAAGGGTTTTTATATACACATAGATTTTCTTTTGTTACCAACACTATAGACAGGACACACCAATTCCAACACCCTAAACATCCCTCACCCAGCAACATGTTTCAACTCATGTGTCCATAAATTCAAGACTGATTAAATGTGTTATGGTAATCCATATAATGGAATTCAATGCTACCAGTGAAAGCAATAAAACAGATTAATATGGAAAGACCACCACATTATACTGAGAAGTGAAAACACCCGGTCAACACTGTCCCACTGTTGAACCTGCACATATATATATATGCATAGAAAAAATTTCTAGAAATATATTCACTAACTTCTATGGTGCTCTTTTAGCGGACAAGATTTTAAGGAAGTTCCTCCACATTGTGCTTTATGATTCTGGATTGTGTGAACCAAATTAACACACATTACTTTCACAAACAGAAGTAACAATAAAGTCATTTCCATTTTAGAAAATAAAGCAATTTCAATTGAAGATCTCGGTACCTAAATAATATAATTTGTAGGAAGCTTAGATATAAATACCAGGTTTCTAGAGAATAAGTATGAAGGCTAAAACCCAAGAAACATGGCTATAATTTTGGTGCTGGAATGGGCGGTGGGAGAAACTTGAAAATCTATAAACGTACAGGTCTTTATGAACTGAAAATATTTTCCTTTGTCAACCTGGACATTTACCTTCCTACCTCTTCATCCTGTTCCTATTTCCATTAACTCAGATGATATCTGGTTGTCATCCTCCCTAATCTACTCTTTAAAAAGAAATCACCTTTCTTCTCTACCCATCTCATGTTAATTTATGTTTAAATTATATCTGTCTATAATTCAAGTATAAACCATGATTTACTATGTTACGGATTTTGTCTCAATTCTGATGAGAGGTATCACGGATTTATATGATGTTTTAATCTACTTTAGAGGTTTATGTGGTTTCATGTAATACTAGGCTCCTAATTCTCCTGTTCAGTCTTGAGAAAACAGTTTTTTTAGCTGTTTCCAGAAAGATTTGCAAGCCTAAAAGTTCAAAAACTCAAAGTATTAGGGAGTAGAAAAAATATCTTTTGTTCATTTACACAAAGTTCCAGTCAGAGGACGAATACTAAGTTCATAACCTTTTCAAGCATCCCTAGGGATAGCCTCAGTAACTTCATAAAAAAGAAAATCTCATTTACATCCTTCAAACGCTTTGCTATTCTTCAAGAACTCTTAGTTTAAATATTTAGAATAAGGATACCCAGAAAATATTCTCTTAAAATACTCATCAATGTAAAAAGATTGTTTTCTCTACTTTCATACTTTACGATTTCTCTCTACCTTTTTTCCTGAATGTTCAATTTTCATAGTAACATTTTTATTCTCTCCTGAATCTTATCATTGTAGGCAAATAGTCAACAGAATTCAGACAGAATTGCTATGCTGAATCATAAACAACTGCTACTCCAAGATTACATCTGTATCACCAAAGGCAAGGAAATGTTTTCAATCCCTATCATGTGGCTTATTATTAAGAGGGAAAATCCTGGTTCTAAAAATAAAAACTCCAAGGAATAGTTCTGGGACCCTCACAGTATGTTTTAATTTTAAAAGTTGAATGAAGATTAAAAATATTATCAGTAAAAGTAATAGGTATATAAAATTTCACATGCAGTCATTGGATCATGTCATCACACATCTCTACTATATTTTAGTATTCAAGATACATCTATAACTCAGAACTTCCCCTCCCAAACCTGTTCTTTGAATGCAGATTAACCTAACATTCCTTCTAAATGACTTTATATTACTACTACTGTTTGGTGGCTCTACAAGGGTATATAAAGAAAGCTACAATGAAATGCTACCATGTAGATTAGAGACAATAAAAATAAATAGAACACTTACTGGTTCTGTTAGTGTGGTATCTTTCTCCAGGAACTGTACGACACAGTAGGCTAGCTAAAATGTAAGGGACAGTTTATAAATATTACTGAAAGAAGTAACAGTGATGCTGGATTTTTATATTTAGTTAACAAAAATGACTACCTCATTTTAACAAATTTTACTCTATCCCAATATATAAACATGAATATATTCACAACTGTGTAACTTGTTAAGCTTGAAAAGGAACAAAGGTTGAAAAGGTCAAAAAATGGTTTGTTTTTTTTTTTCAGTAGTAACTTCTGAATGTAAATTTAAGTGAAATAGGACTACAGCTAACATTTTAGTTTTTCAGGAAGTTTTGGCATGTATACCTGTGCTGATAGGATAGATATTATTTAAATACTCCTAGAGACTAAAATCATTGTCCAACTACACTGGGCTGGATGGAATATTTTGCTGATATATGTGACTCATTCAGAGTCAGGGCCTGGACTAGAGAAGAAAACTGGATACTATCTCTCCTATATCTACATTAAAAGTACACTGAGGTTATTTAATAAAGCTAAATATTATAATACTTTTAAATTATAATGAAAATTTGCTTTAACTTACAAAGCAAATTGCTTAATTATATCTAAAATTGCTGCCTTAATATCTCTCAGTTTCTCTGCCTTTATATCAGCCTTTGACAATATTCATTTCATTTGAATTTTGGCTGAAACTTACCTGAGCATGAAACAAAGCTAATCCTTTCGCAGTATGCATAGGAATAAGAACCTTCATTAGAAATTGCTTATGTTCTGCTTTCAGCGGCAGTGCAAAGCCATTGATAATACTGGAGGGGGAAAAGGGGGGGGAGGGTTAAGGAGTTACTACTTTATTTCCAAAAGTTATACCCACGAGTACATCAGGAACACTGTTCTACTTCAATCCTGATGTTGAATGACTTACTACTCATCTTCAAACTACTTTATGAATTCTGTTCTTCTAAGTCATTCATTGATCCCAAAAAGAAAACTGGGACTGCCAATTAAAGTCCCCGGAAATAATTTCTTTTTTCATTTTCTAGAAAGCCTATCACTTTATGCATCATTGCCTTTATTTTCCTACCTGAAGTCACAGGAGAGTTAGTATCATAATGTTATTAGAACTTTCAAAATTTTCTAAAGCAAAAGTATTTTTCTGAAGTAAATTCTTAAGTTTCTCTTACTTTGCTAAAAGATCTGAAATTAAAGTAGTAGTTTTCTCCATAATCATTCTCTAACTATAAATAGAGGGGGCCTAATCTTCTCAAGTTAATACTGCTATGTGATGAATACAGAAAGCAAAATGTTCAAGTAAACTAAAAGGCTATAGATTCTTCTAAAAAGAACAGATGGATTAGGAAGGGCCTATCAATATCTCAGCAAGAATTCTTATAACTTCATCAAAGATTCACTACAGTTTATTTCATTTCTTCCCAATCAGATCCTATAAATTTCTAAGGCAGTCTGGCAAGATCAGGCATAAAACATGCCTCAGCTTCAAAAGCAGGAAGAAGCCTATTCTAAAACAGATGTCTTGCATGGCAAGTACTTTAATATGCTGACCGCTTAAAAAGCTATAAAAAGAATTTAGTTGAGAAGCTATGTCTTGTGCTCTATATTTAAACTCTAAAATATAATTTCTCCAACCCCAGTAAGATTCTAATACATAAAACATTTAAAGCTATTTAACTCTTAAAAAACAACAACCTACCTTCCTAATATTTCAAGGAGTTCAGCAACACCATTGAAATGTTCTGTTTCATATATAAACCTGAATTTAAAAATGAAGACAGGTGTAATGAAAACTCAAACATTAGAAAACTAAACTAAGAGGCAGGAAAGTAAAGAAATCAATCTTAAAAGCAATTCTATAAGAAACATACACGTATGCTTCAAGAATTCTTTGTAAGCTATTTTGCCCCCAATTAGTTACCTCTTAGCAATCTTATTAAGTCACATAGATTTTTGCTAAAACTAGCTATAAAGATAATAGAATATTATTTCACCTGGAAGATTTTATTTTACTTAAAAATTTATAAAAAAGATGGGTTTTCTCTAAGAAATACATTCCAAAATCGGAAACCTCCACCCACAGGAAAATGCACGAGATAAGGACCCATATGGAATAAAGCCACTTTTATTCATAGTTTCTCTAAACCTAAACTACACAGGCTGCCTAGCTTTCCAAGATTAGGCTTGCTGTTAAAGCAGGAAGTCATGAACTCAAATGACTACAGGACAGGGAAGTATCATAATGACTAGAGTGGACATAGGAGGAGGACAGAGACTTGCAGGAAGATGCTCTCTCTAGGAGGCAGCTGTTGCTCATCTCGAATTGTTACAACATAGGAAAGCTAGCTTAATTCTGCCACATTTCCAAATAAACAAACCAAACCTGAAATGTGGGTATACTAAAGCAAAATTTAATTAGAAGCAACTACTTAACAGATTATCATTTATAAAGGAGTCAAATATATGCTTCATTTGAATTTAATTTTGTCAGAAAATCAAAAGTGCTTTCAAGAGCTACTGATTTAAATAATATTTATACACAATTTTCTAAACCAAAGGCTCAAAGAAGTAGGTAACTAGACATAAATTCTCTCAATAAAACTTAAACATGAACATTCGTATTACCTATTCAAAACGGTAAGTTGCAAGTTTCTAAAAAGTTACATGTAATCACATGACACCCACAAGACAGGCTAAAAATGATTCAAATACTATCAACAGTTCAGATACTAAAAATTAAAGGAACTAAAATAAAAAAACATGGAAGGGGAAAAAGTGCTATCTAAGAATATATGACCAGTTTACCTGAGGAAAATGTTGTTTATTTGTTTTCTGATGAATGCTCTTAATCCAAGAAATTTCCCATAAATTCGGTGCAGAACGGTCTTCAGGAAGTCACGTTCTCTGGGATCTTCACTATCAAAAAGCTCGAGGAGCTTTAAAAAAAATCTGAGAAATTACTTTTTAAAAATAATTGAGCTAAAACTTCACTTTATTCTAATTTGATTTAAAGATAACCCATGAAATCCTTTAAAAAAGTTTTAATAATTCTGCCTTATCAGGTTGATTTTATTCTTGCTAAATAATGAAGCTAAAGAAATGCTTAAGGAGTATTTCTTTTCACTTCACTTCAAAAAACAACACATAATATAAATACTTCAAAAAGTGTATAGTTGTTTTCTTGCCTTGCCATGCATTTTAAAATTCTATCCTATTCTTCTTGACTACTAACTAATCATAGCTCAAAATTTTAGTTTTGAAATCTGAGATTTTTAATGCTTTTTGATAGTAACTCAAAACTACATACAAAAATCTTAAACTCGCAAATTGCAAGTCATTAAATAAATCAAGTTTAAAAATACACATGTGCAAATGAGTATTTCCAGTTTACTAGATTTATACAAACCAAGGTTATTTTGTGATTTTACACTAAAATTTAAGTCACCATGCCAACAGCTCTGAAATTAATGTTTAATTAGTAGGAGAACGTATTGGCAGATACATGCTAATAGAGTAGAAGTCATTCATGAAATAATGAAATAAAAGAGGAGACCACAGATTTTTATTTAAAGTCACCTTAGCAACTGGCTGCAAAATTTTAAACCAGTTCAAATAAGTCACCATTTTCCTCCTATACCTCTACCCAACTCTTCAGCAAAGGCAGAATAAAAAGATCTTTGAAAATTTAAAGTAAAGCTCAAATTTCCATTTTTAAAATGGCAAAGAAACAATTTCTGCTGTCAAAAATGGTATTACTATATTTTAAATAAAACATTGGATTCTCTTAGGAAAAGTTTTAAAATATTCTATCTCTACAGAATATAATTACCTACATGAAGTCATCAAGGAATTTTACGTTCTGTACTTTGATACTGATAATTACAGTCAAGATGGCAAGCTCTGAACTCCTAGCAGTTCTTTTCCCATTCTGTCTTGAATTATATTATGTGATTATTTACATATGCATCTCTCCTACTAGACTGAATGCCTTTTGAAGGTTGTGATGACTTTAGTCATATTTATATACCCTTAAACAAATGTCTTGTTTATAATTTGCATTCTTTGTTCACTAGGTTATTAAAGTCCTGAATGAGGCTACAGACAAAAATATCCAGGTATAAGAATTTGTATTAATATACCTAATAAATTCAGTTCAAATTATTCTAATTAAAAATGGCTAAACTACTCACTTGAGACACTCATATCCAAGTTTCTGATTGTTGGGTTTACTTAGAAGATAAGCTTGCAAATTAATAAAAGGGGCCCTTACTTGTTAAGGTTGACATGTTTAATTCAAGAACAAATAAATTTAGTACCAGTTGATTCTCAGGAGAAAAATATAAACTAGAGAATACTTGTTAGCCAAGTGTTAAATCTATTTTATTATAATCTGCTGTTATAAATATAAATATAATAAAACATACATAAAACTAGTCATCAGAAAATTGTCTCTTATTCTGGCTGTGATACTTATGTCTAACTGCTTTTAAGGCTAATTCATAACCTCTGAGCTTTTTCATCACTGATAAAATGAAGAAGGCTGAAACTAATCTTGTTTTTTCTAAGCGTAGGTAACATGATAGTTAGAGTCTAGTTTGAATCCTGACTGTGCCATCTACTAGCTGTGTGAAATTAGACATGGTCTACTTCTTTATATAAAAAGCATATAAGGACAATGCCACACACATAAAAAGCACTCCATAATTCTTAGCTTCCTTCTTTTTTCTGAAATCCTATGATTTGAACATAACTTAGAATTATCCAAGTGTTTTCTTCTCTTGAAATATGAATGTCCGAATTTATACTTACTTTTTTTCCTGTACTTTTAAATCTTAAAATTACCACCTAATCAAATAATTTCAAAATACAAAAGCTAAGGATTCTCTCATATACTGTTAAATCTATTACAAAAGTGATCTATGAAAGTACAGTCATATGAACTGCTAAGAACAAATTACTGGGCTTTGCTTTCTCAGATAATTCAGGTATTTGACATATAAAGTAGAGTTTTCATCTTGTTCCTCCTCAAAACCATGGAATAAGCCAGCAGCAGAAATACCTCAAGCTCTAGACTGAAGAAGCACTCAGGCAACTGTTCCCTCCACCTGCTTTTATGTTAAACACAATTTAATATGGTATTACTAGAGTTCCTTAATATACTCTATTCCTTCTGTAGCATACAAGAGCTACAGAAGGAAATAAATATGCATTCATCTGCAATTACCAAAATCACAAAGCTCCATTTAATCTGATTTTTACTTGTGAATGTAATGTAAATTTTAATGTTAGCACACGCCCAATATTTATTTGTAATTTGTAAGGAGCTGCTTGAATGGTTGAAGGACATATTCCTGACAATATTCTTCATTAATCAATACACTCACAGCAACTAGTCAGAATATTTTATGTGAGGTCAGGTGTAGCTATAAATGATGAAAACTGAGCTCCAAATATGTGGAACTCATGTTTGTAGAATCTTTATCATCCAACAGTGGTAAGAGGGTAGGAAAGGTTCTCGTAATGATTTTAATCCTAGCCTTAGCACTGGGTTCACTGCTACCTTTTCACTCATCTCCTACCTTTCTTGAAGTACAAAAAATTCTAGAAGAGAAGAGCATCAAATTTCTAATGAGACTTAACATACTGAAAAGTATTTCCAAAGGGAAACTAAACCTACAAAGATTTGGTCTACTTCACCACAATCCTGTCTAGGGCCAGCCAATTCCCCATAGTTAAAGAGAGGCTTTTACATTGTTGAAAAGATTTTGAACATTTAAATAAAAATGAGCACATTCTGAAAAATTAATTTTCAGTATGTAGTTTCCAAAAAATAATAGCTTATAACCAATTTATAAAATAAAAGTTTATCAATTATGTTTCATTCAGTCTATCCCCTTTTCTTCTTAAAGATTCTATTTATCTGCAGTTTAGGAACTGGGAGACTAGAATGCCTAAGGTGGGAAAGGGAAGGAAATAGGAAAGGTCACTGGTAATTGTAACTGATAACAAGAAAGGAGCCCAAACTCCTGACAATGATTCCATTTGTTTCTCTGTCATTTCAAAGCTACAATGCTTAAAACATATCTCAAAGTTCAAGTTCAAAGACTTAAAAATTTAAAAGAAAGCTTCTTGCCCTTTGCTTGAATGGTCATACCAAATTTTCTCAGACTGTCCAGAAAGGCTTGCTTTTCTGTTTATAAAATAACCTTAAAAATTCAGGATTGGATGTAATTCCATTGACTTCATTAGAAGCTCACTCTTGATTAAAATACTCTGGTTTTCTCAAAGCTACTTCATTTTTACTGTAATTGGCAAGAGTTTTAAACGATGTTAAAGTAAAATAAACCATTTAAGTTTTAAAAGACGATTTTAATCACAAATTAATAAATCATTGCTAAGATGAACATAAGGAAATTTAAGACATAAGAATTCCTTACCTGCTGTACAAATTTCTGATCAATGTATCGTTTTGCAATGCTAGGCTGGAAATCAGGGCTCTCCAAAAATCTTAAGAAGAATTCATACACCAACTATGAGAAAAAGTCAAATAAAAGCTAAGATGATGCCTATAAAATTTTACCCTAATAGTCACTTCATACCAAACATACCTCCCCTACCCACCCTAGGAGGGAGATTTCAGAGCTCATTAGAAAATATGATGAGTTTGGTAACATTTTTTTAAAACTAAAAATATATTCACAATTTGGTCTCCTAAGCTGGTAAATTTGGGGATTTATTGCTTTACATCACTTGCTGAAACCGTGAAATTATAGGAACTAGAAAATAAAGACGATGCCTATACAATATTTAACTAAGAAAGACTATTTTGCACTCCATACTCACTGGGAACATGTTCATTTTCCAGTGGACTCCTAACCCACTTCAATTTCATCTCTAGAGTTATTTTTTTTTAATCTTTAGAGTTCTTTAAATATAGATCAGAAACTTCCAGATAAGAATAAATTAGACTGTAAGGGGTGGTGTATCAATAACAACAACAAAAAAAACTTCACGTCTTTCTATTAAACTATAGTGGGGAAAAATTAAATCAAAACCAGATACCTTATCTGCACTTGGGAAATAATAAACCAAATTATGTAAATTCAGGGTTCAGAAAGGAATGTCTTTATCAAGGTGAATAAACTAGAAGTCACAGCAGGACTTCTACTTAAGTGCCAAGGATCTTAAAGTAATGGGAAATGTTCACTTATTACCACAGATCAGAATTAAAGTAAGGTTTAGGTCAATCTGCTTCCATCACACCTACATCTGTCTTTCAAGAAGAAAGGAAAATAAAGTTTTTTTATTGTAACCTAACAGCTCATAAAAGGAGTATTGCCCCAAATGTGCCTTACTTTATTAGCTACTGAAAAACATATTAATCTAGCATCCTAAACATAAAAAAGGAAGATTATATCCTAAAGCAAAACAGTCATTCAGTAAACAGTATAGTTGGGCCACATATAGAAGGGAAGAAAAAAGGGGCACCTGAGTGGCTCAGCTGGTTAAGCGTCCACCTTAGCTCAGGTCATGATCTCAAGGTTTTTGAGTTAGAGTCTCACATCAGGTTCTCTGCTGTCATCACAGAGCCTGCTTCAGAACTTCTGTCCTCCTCTCTCTCTGTCCCTCCCACAGACTCTCCCTCTCATTCCCCAAAATAAACAAACATTAAGAAAACTTACAAAAAAAAAAAAAGATTGCTACAATAAATTTACAGACTTTACACAACACACAAATAAAGCATTACCAGATCCGGGACTTTATCACTCACCACAGAATAACAAAACTCACAAAGAATTACTATGAGTTCAGTAATATACAACAGTTTTGGGAACAAATATTATTTTTGTTTGATGCATCTTTTTTGCCCAACTATGCAAAAGGAATGATGCTTATCTGGTCTAATTATTATCTAACTTTTAATTTTCATGTTAAGTATGACACTGTAACAAGAAAACAAACTGATATCAGTTTCATTTATAAATCATCTTCTAATCAACTATGTAGATAATTTTGTTTTGGGGTACACACATGCAAAAAGATATACAAAATTATCAGAGTTCTCCAAAGAGTGAGTACAGTCTCACGGACTGCTACACAAGTTCAATGGCACAACTTACCAGTGCCTATTTTCATGTCCAATACTGGCCTACTGTGATATGTTCTTACTTTTGATTATTGGCATAGAGCTCCTAAAACGCTTGGCATTTCCTGAGTGATAAGAGGTTAGAGGTGCATCTTTTGTTTTTCACAAGAAGCCCCTTTCAATCATGCCTGCGTTTAGGTTAATAAGATGTCTCTGGGAGGATGAAGCCTGGTTATCTCAGCAACCAACCCTGTGATGAGAGGCTTGAAACTTTCAGCCCTCAACCCCCATCCTCCAGGGAGGGGAGAGAGGCTGGAGACTGAGTTAATCACTGATGGCCAGTGATTTAATGAATCATGTTTGTCTCATGGAACCACCATCAGAATCCTCAACAAGGGGGTTTGGAGAACTCCTGAACTCCTGGCTTGGTGAACACATCGAGGTACTGAGAGGGTAGTACCATGGAGCTCCTTCTCCATACCTATGCATCTCTTTCATTTGGCTGTTCCTGAGTTGTATCCTTATTTATAATAAATCAGTAACAGTAAATGAAGTGTTTCCTGTGTTCTGTGGGCAGTTATGAAAAATTATCAAATCTCAGGAGTGGATTGTGGGAATCCCAGACTTAAAGCCAATTGGCCAAAAATACAAGAGGCCCAGACTCCTGAATGCCATGTGAAATGAGGTATGGTCTCATGGGACTGAGCCCTTAATCTGTAGTATCTGTGGTAACTCTGGGTCATTAGTGTCAGAAATGAATAAATTATAGGACACCCAGTTGGTATCCATAGAGAAGTGAATTTCTTGGTGTAGAAAATCCAAACATTTGGTGTCAAAAGTGTTATGGGTAGAGCAAACAAGTTTTCCTTTTAGCTACATATAGTGGGAACAGATATTAGGCACTGTACAGTCCCAAAAAGCTCACTTGTTAGGGAGGTGAGACAAAACTAAACATACAAAATGGTGTATATGCAAACATTACATGGTACAGACTATGAGTGGAGGAGACACTTAGAAAAGGGCGAAAGCACTGTGGAATAAAGTCAGCAGGAACAATTTTAAGGAGGACATGCAACTTGAGGCCTACATTTGATCTGATTTTGGATAAGCCAAAAAGAAAAAGAAGGGCTTTTATAGAAAGGTAGGACATGTCTTGAGCACCAGATGTAGGGTATGGGTTGATAGGTATGGAATCAGGGACTCAGAATCTTTATGCAGATCCCTAGTTCAGAGGAAGTTAAGATTTATGGTGAGGTAGGACCAGGTTAAACAGGAGTCAAGTATGGCACGCATTAGCCTATACACTCTACCTCTTAAGATATACATCAGAAATATAGGGCTAAAGGCTTAATACTATTAGGAGTAATTACATGTCTTTTGGGAGATTTGCATGAAATCCAGCTGAATCCTCTAAATCACACATTCAGCTGAAACCTGTCTCTATGACAGATACCACATTATCATTTCTTTCAGAGTTTTTATCTCCATCATTTACCTGACACAGTGAACATTAAGGGATCAGTTAAGATTAGCAGCAAACTGCTTTTATGCAGCCAACTTAGCACCACTGAAGAGACAACAAAAGGTTATCTAAACACATGCTGAGTAATATGAAAACAGCAGGAAAGGAAACGCCGGTGATCTACAGAGCTGAAAATCTTCAGCACGGTACCATTAAGACTATGCTTCTATAAAATTGTACCCTGTCCCCACTGTCACTCTCTCTTATACTCTTTATCCTGCATTACTTTTCTTCTTGTATTTATTATTACACCTTGACACAGTAATATTATTTAGTCTTTTCCACTAGAATGTAAAGGGTTTTGCTTATTTGTTCAATACATTACCCCCAATACGTAGAGCAATGCCTTGAACATATTCCTGAATGAATCACAGTTGTTGACTGTTTCTGTATATGTAAGTTTTTCTATATTCTTGTATATGAAGAAATAATTTGCTCCGAGAAGCTAAGAAATAGTGCTGCAAAGAACAATAGATAGTTACAGCAATGGATTAATTTTTCTAGTAAAATGGCAAACTTCACATATGTTCCTACTTCTATGAACCTAAAAATACCCTAAAAATAAGTAAAAAATGTAAAAAGATAACTAAAAAAGGGTAATCTTACCATTCTACTCCATAATGACCATGTCTTCACTAAGGTTTAGTTAAAATATGAAAATTCTGGTCTTCATCAATAAAAGATTTTAGAAAAAGATACAGCAAAAACAATAGAGATTTTCAAAAACAACAGAGGTTTTTAAAGTATCTGAAAATAAGATCTATACAAAAAGCTAAGGGGACTGGAAATGTTAGGCTCGAGAGGTAAAGACTGAGAAGCAACTTTAATGAACTGTAAATACACAAAAGACTTTCTTCAAGGAATATGGTGATCCAATGTTTCCCAAACTCTTATAAGAGGAAGCTAATTTAAGTGGGTTTTAAAAAGGATTTAATATGGGGTGCCTGGGTGGCTTAGTCGGTTAAGCATCCGACTTTCGCTTAGGTCATGATCTCGCGGTTCGTGGGTTCGAGCCCCGCGTCGGGCTCTGTGCTGACTGCCAGCTCAGAGCCTGGAGCCTGTTTCAGTCTGTGACTCCCTCTCTCTCTGACCCTCCCCTGCTCACGCTGTCTCTCTCTCTCTGCTAGAAATAAAAAAATAAAATAAAATAATAAAATAAAATGGATTTAATACATGAAAGAATTCATGTAAGATGCAACATATACTGAACTAAATGAGATATTTCATATTAAATGCCTGAACACTGAATCTGACCATGAGCTATTTGGATTCACGTGAAGGTGTACACTGTAAAATGTGTATGTTTCCAAATTAAATTTCTAATTATAGAGACCACAAAGAAGAGCTTCTAGTCCCTAAAATACAAGTTATTTGTAAAAACGTCTATGTTCTAGTCAGTACCTACATAATTACATCCTAAATATCTGTGCCACTAAAGAAAATAATTGATACAAGAAAATTAAAATACTATACGATCTGCCTGTATTCCACGTTAATACAGCAGCCAAGTCTCCCTAATTATCTATAAGCTGGCACACAGAGGGGTGCCTGGGTGGCTTAGTCGGTTAAGCGTCCAACTTTCACTTAGGTCATGATCTCGCGGTTTGTGGGTTCGAGCCCCGCATCGGGCTCTGTGCTGACTGCCAGCTCAGAGCCTGGAGCCTGTTTCAGTCTGTGACCCACTCTCTCTCTGACCCTCCACTGCTCACGCTGTCTCTCTCTCTCTCAGAAATAAATAAAACATTAAAAAAATTTTTTTAAATCAGCAATGTAATCACAAGAGCTAGCATCCACATATAAAGCATGGTTCCTCTCTACCTTCCAGGAACTATATAGAAAATAGCTGATGTATGGATTATCCATCCTACTGTCATTAAAGATATATCATTTTTCCTTTTATTTAAGACACTCTTCACTCCAAC